GCATCTAAAGGAACTGCGTTAGGTGGCGTGGCTCTTTTCCTGCTCATCTTCTGAGCCAGAGCATCATTTTCCGGAACCACGTAAGCATTTTTTCCTAGTAGAAGTTCAGAGAGCTGAAGAGCTATATTCTAAGCAAAAATAATCATTTCAGATTTATTTTAAAAAATTGGGAGATCGAAGATCAAGGAAACATGCAGATTTCTAAATATATAGCCACGGAAAATATCACAGGTAAGGATTGGAGAAAAAAAAAAACCCTGCAACTTTGCAGCGATTGACAGTTTCATGTCAGAATATAAAAATTGTTAGTGTTTGTATATGTTATTGAGAAAACTGCATGGAGTGATTTAATTTCATCTTTTGCAAGTAAACTGTTAAGAATTGTCCTTAAAACTCCAATCCTGGGCTCATTCCCTCAGGGAAGACAGGATCTAATGATCCTTCCTTGAGGTAAACACTATAAACTCATACTAATTCCTGCTAATTGTCAAAGAAGAATAGACTGGTTTCTTATCAGCTGTTTCCTTTTGTGTAATAGCTGTGGTCTGTTAGTGCTATCTACTTCACTGATAAGGAAAACACCACCTAAAACAAGCAAGAAAGTGAACCATCCTTTCCAGCAGTATTTTCTTTTTAGGCTGTCTTTGAGCAGAAAAACCCTGGTACACTACAGGAAATACACTGTGTGATTCCATGGGAAAATATTTAGTAATGAGCAGCCAACACTTAATTACTTCTCAAAATTTTATTGTGTATATTTACTAAAGTGTGCAATAGTATGTGATTTCCAAAATGTTTAGTTACTGATTCTGTGGCCCATATTCTATAGACATGTTGCTATTAATATTTTTAAATATTTTAGAGTTTTAAACTGTTCAGATAACCCATAAGATTGTAAATACATTGAATTTATGTAACTTGGAAGCCCAGTCAGAAACGTTCGAGAATTACACCTGAAACTTACAATATATTGTAAATCATATTCTTCAATAAAAAAAATTTTAAGAACCATTATAGAATTATGTGGATCTGGAAAGTTGAAAATAATTACATATTTGAGATAGTTCCTTTTGCTTTTAGCTCAATTGTTCTTCAGTTTTATTTTATAAGCAAATTGAATAGTTTATAAATTACTGACAGTGATTTTGAAAAAGAATAATTTATTAATATTTACTTCATGTTTTATAATCACTCAATGGTTACCCCTCCAAATCAAACCATCTCTTCACATTTTGTAAAAGAATAATTTACCAAGAAACAACATTCGAGGCTGATTGTATGTAATTACGGAGTCCGGACAGAAATGTTTTTGCTTCTCTTTGTTCCACATTTATGCCATTAGTAATGGAAACATGTCATCTCTTTGCGTGTAATTTTGCAGCTGGCAAAGCATTTTATCAAGCTTTGCAGCAATGCTATGATATCTCAGTTTTGTAGCTGAATACTCTGAGACAGGTAGCTGGGGCCAGAGTCCTGCAGATAGTATTTGGCAAAATTGTGCATTGCACCTGATTCTTCTCAGCTAACTCTAGGGTCCTTTCACTACCTTTTATCTATAAAGATCTCCTTTTAGGGAAAATTGTTTACAGTCTTACAAATTTCCACTGCAGTGACTTTAGTTATTGTTATGTCTAGGTGGTCATTAAAGAATTGCGGATAGATGGAAAGAAGAAAGGGAGGGAGGGAGGCAGGCAGGCTAGAAAGGAGGGAATCCTATTGCGTGGTGCAGGATTTGGGGAGTCTTTAAAATGGTAAATTTAGTCTCCACATCGTTGGTTAAGTCAGAGAACTGTCCAGACCTCCTCAAAATGGTCACTAGTCACTAGTCCTGACGGTCACTTGTCTATCCTGACAGACCAGGCTGAGAGTGAAACGCTTGAAGCAACTACTGTACTACTTACACTTTCTTCCTTATAATTTTGAAATTGGTAACATCCCAGAGAAGGTGTGTTTGGCACAAAACATCCATATAAATGCCAAACATAAAGGTAGTAAAGTCATAGTTACGTATTCCTAATTGCTGTTCAGTTAGCACTTACTTTTGTTGTTGTTGTTGTTTAGCTGCTAAGTCATTTCTGACTCTACCCACAGATTTTGACCAACTAGTTTCAAAGCAGGAGGCAGAGTTTATTAAGGACTGAGTAAGTGAGATCTCTGTTGCCTACTTCTAAAAGCAGCTATGAAGGTCATCTTTTAGATATCAAAAGCACATTCTCTTGGCAGAACTGTAATCTTTACCTCTTATAAATTCCTGCCAGCTGCCTTAAAAAGAATGCTGTTTCTACAGTTTGGCTGAAGAACCTCCTTTGTCTGTTTCATTAATTTCTGGCAGAATTACCAAACGGAAACTGACTGAGCAATATAGCATGTATAGGCCAAAGACAAAGGACATCACTGCAAAATTTATAGATCTGCTTAGGGCTGACTGTGCACAGCATTCAACTAAGGAGAATATAAGGAAGCCTGGCAAAAATCTGAAAGATGCATTTATCACCATTTCCATCCCCGGTTCTTCTGACAATTACAACTTATCCCTGTGTTTGGCTGTTGGTTCAGAACAGCTGTACCCAAGTCAGTCCACACGTTGTGTCTCCTGGGAGTTAATTTCTGCTTTGTAATTCCGTGATCATTTTTATTCTTTCTGCTGCTAAAGGATGTAAGCACTAAGTAGGATAGTCCCTGATCGCATAAGAGAGCTGCTACTTCATTTTCTCCAAGAGTTATTATCAACTATTCCTATTCCTATTGATCCTAGTCCATGATCTAAGGACGTTTCAAATGATTGTGTTGTAACTGAGGGTGTCATGCAAAGGATAATGCATGTCAGGGAGAATACTTTTAAAGGATTGGGGGAGGGGGGAATGGATTATTTCAAGTTTTAACCCCACGTTTCTTAATGCTACTTAGTTAATAATGCAAGATCAGAAGGTCCAAGGAATAGGTATGATGTATCTGTCTCTTCTGTCTATCACAGCTAATTTTCTTTGTTAGTTTGCAATGAATATGGAGTGTCCGCTTTGGCGGGGAAGGAAATGTTGGTTTTGCTGGTTTTAGTGAAAGCCTCAGCATTTGTTCTGGAAGAGCCTGCTGCAGTGTTTGCTGCCCAGCTTGATTAAGGGGGAATTCTTAGCAGTCTGGTAGGAGGGATTCAGGGACTGCCACTGGGGTCTGCTCGAGGCTCAGAGCTCCTTTGCAGGAATGAGGGTGACAGAACTCTGCGGGCGGTCCCTTCAGCAGAAATACTCTGCCCAATTTGTCATTCCATAGATCCCTGTCAGCAGTGAAAGTTCTTAAGCACAAAACCTTTAACGTTAAAGACAACCACCCCCCTGATATTTTTAAAGGCAGTTGCCATGGATGAAAATATTCATAACACCTAAGTATATAGTTTTTTACATGAAGATATATGTCAAAATTCATGCTAAGTGATATATAGAAATTGCCTACTCAATCATACTATAGACCAAATGATGCAAATTATGTTCCCTTCTTCCTGAGAAGAAAATGGTAAAAGGGTAGCTGATAACAGAGGGTAAAAAAACCTCTCTTTCCATTCCATGGTTCTTTGATTAGGTTTATAGACCTGAGTTGGAGAGAGCTTTTTTGTTGGAATAGTTAAGAAATGAAACAAATTTTTAATTACTATAGTAATGATTCAAGAAAAGCTTGCCTCTTTGAAATCTTCAGATTTCTATTAAGCTTTACATCTGATTGATAGATACCAAAATTAAGATTCTTCCCTACTTATTCCATTTTCTCACCTGCTGTTTTCATCAGATGTCAGTTTAGCACCAGTCCGTTTACCTTGTAGTTGTCAAGTCACTAAGTTGTGTCCAACTCTCTGTGATCCCATGGACTGCAGCACGCCAGGCTTCCCTGTCCTTGTCTATCTCCCGCTCAAACTCGTGTCCACTGAATCGGTGATCCTTTACCTAGATTATTGATAATCTCTGTAAAAGTCCTGTAAGAGTCCCCTGTTTTCTAAATGGGAAAATTGACCATCTGGGTGGTTCAGTAACTTACTCTTGAATACAAAGCTAGTAGGAGATGGTATTTGAACCAGATCTGTCTCCAAAGTGCAAATCATTTTGACTGTCCTTTGCTCTTCTAAAAGCCATTGGTGAGAACCATGAAATGGTCCCAGACTTGCCTTAGACAGAAGAATAAGAGACCAGAAAGGCATGGAATCATTCAGAAACTGGATAATCAGGTGCTCAGTATTTTGATCAGGTAGAGTAACAATCAAGCAGAATTAGAGGAGCAATTAGGTTAAATGTCAAAGCACAATGTGCACTGATGAAGGAAATGAAAAAGAAAGGCAGGAGAAAGTGGAAAAATACATGAAAGGTCAAATATAAGTAAATAACGGCATCTGAATTCCAGTTGCAAATACTAAAATAGAAATTAATAAGGAGGACAAAGGGTTAAAAATCACCAAGACTGTGTCAGATAATATTTCATTTCATAATGAAATAATGTTATTAGTTGCCATTTAAAATTGATACCTAAATTCAGTTACACTGATATGAATTTATATCACTATTTTTGAGCCTTCCTAGAAAATTTTTCTTTTTTTTTTAACTTCCTATTTTATATTAAGGTATGGCCAATTAACAATGTTGTGATAGTTTCAAGTGAACAGTGAAGGGACTTGGCCATACATGGAAAATGTATTTTTCTTAGTAGATCTTCTGTTTTCCACTTCTTTAGAAGATAAAGTATTGGTTATAAGAAATGTTTGTTTCCTATTTAATTGTAATTAAGTTAACTATATATATTAATATATATATATTAAGTTAACCCTTTTATAATTTTGTTCTATTTATTTACACGTAGAAAGTACTTTGTGTCTTTAAGTCTTAATGCTGTTGTTTGTTAAGCCAGAAAGTTTAGTGGAGTACATCTTATCTATATGAGCTCTTCCTTTTAAGAGCATTTAAAGGCTGCTAAGAAGAGGGAAAGATGGGTGTAAAACTTTCCCTTGTTTATCTTTTATCCAGCCACATCTACATCTACAGCTGGGACAAGCCATCTTGTCAAGTGTGCAGAGAAGGAGAAAACCTTCTGTGTGAATGGAGGCGAGTGCTTCATGGTGAAAGACCTTTCAAATCCCTCAAGATACTTGTGCAAGTAAGAAAAGAAATCCTCTCTGTGACTTCTGTCCATGACCGCTTCTTTCAGATGATTCTGTGTCTCATGATGTATTGTTGCTGCCTTTTCCAGTTTCGTTGCATCCTTTGAATAATGCTGTTTTATTTGTAGAGTGTTGTGAAAAGTTCACACCATTTATCTACTTTGTTTTATCCAGAATGGTTTTTTGCTTTTTTCCATGTGGGTGTTTGGTTGGGGTTTTTTTGGTTTTGTTTTTTTGGGTTTTTTTTTTTGCCTTCATATTTATAAAGTTGCTTTCCTTGTGGTTTTCCTCCTTGTTACTTAAGAGAGATGTGCAAATATCATAGACGCCTAGAACTTTGGACACCTGCATCTCCATCCAATGTATGAATGAAGCTGTAAGATAATGTTCCTTTTTACCCTGGTGTCACCTGTGAAGCAAATAGGACAACTAGAAGAAGCAGAAGGGCAGGCAATTATTTGCTGACCCATCTATTAAACTTGGCATTAGCTTTATAGCTCCTTTTAAAAAATGGAGTTTAAGTTGATCTCACTAATGAAAAACCAGCAATGTGTATTAGTTTGGAAATGCACTTAGTGTGTGTAGCATCATTGCATGTAGAAGGCAGAGTGTTTTTTCATGCACTGTAGTTATTTATAGATATGTTTAAAATGGTGCTCTCTCCAATGACCTGAAGGAGTTGATGAACCATTAAGAAGTATCACAGTTATTCTCTCTCAATAGACAAAATTAAACAAAGATGTTGTCAGGACATTAAATATTAAAACTCTGCAGTTAAAATTAGTAGGTCTCATTAAAAGCACGTTTATTGTGTAATGCATTTTTAGTTTATGCTGGATATATAGGGTCTGTGTGGTCCATGGACTCAAATAATTTGTCATGTTAAAAGATATTTAATGTCTCATTGAAATGGTTAAAAATACACGTTTATATTGTAGTTAACTAGGCGCTGTATCTTTCATAGCTATAGAGAATAATTATAAGCCAAGATAAAATTAATAGGTAAGAATCTTTTCAAAACTTTGAAGCAAGATAAAAAATGAAAGCATATATATAAAAAATAATTTCTTCCAGGTCTGAATGATTTTATGACTATCAAATGTTTATTTTTTTAATTTTTTATTTTATATTGTGATTTAGCCAATTAACAATGTTGTGACAGTTTCAGGTAGACAGCAGAAGTACTCAGTCATACATGTACATGTATCCATTCTCCCCCAAACTCCACTCCCATCGAGGCTGTGGCATAACACCGAACAGTTTCCTATGCCAACATGTTTATTGTTTGAATATTAAAGATTCACTTTTTTGGTCACCAGCATATCAAATCTATGTACCGATAGCGGAGAATTAAAATTGGTCAGTTTCAGCCTTTGATTTTGCCAGTTTGCTGTGAATATATCCCAAATATTCCTCCTTCCCTGAATTTTTCATTGTGACTGGAAATGAATAAATTCTATAATTTCCTATAAGATTTTCTCTGATCAAAATAGGAAATTCAGAAGCTGAGAATTAGAATCTGTAAAATGAGGTACATTTACTATATGGGGACATCCTGCTAGTCTGTCCTAGTCTTAGACATACAATCTAGTTATGTTTCAGTAAATCTCCTTGGAAGAAAACCTTTAAATTACAGTTCCTTAGATGCTTCTCCTTTTTAAACAATTGTACCCAGATTATTTTAATCTATGCCTCCTCTTTTTTTTTTTTACTTCTTTGAGATTTCTCTGAGATGACTCAATTTTAATTATAATAATGAAACATGATCTTTTTCATCCTAGCCTTTGCAAAAAGATTTGCAAGCTGAGTGAGTACATATGATAGTTTCTGAATACCTCTTAGGAACTAATGCAGTTATTCCCTATATATTAATTTCAGCTATTCTGTGGCCCTCCCACGACCTATACAAAACCTGCTGTCACCTAAGTGCTGTTCTTTGGTTCCATTTTGGTATTGTGCCAACAGCTGTGATATTTTTTTTCACACACACAGCTTTTCATTAAACATTAAGTCCAATCTAGAAAGAAATACTTGTTTTATATTTTTCTAACCTTAATGTGAAATGTTTGGTATTCCTCTAATAGTTACTAAAGCAGCAAACTAAAAGTAAACATTGTGTCCCCCAACTAAATCCTGTACCAATTCTCAGAAAATTTGCACTATGATTTTATCATATCTTTTTTTTTTTTTTGGTAATTGTAATCTTTCAGAAAAGTGTTAAAGATTATCATGAGCCCTTATTGGAAAGAACACCTGTGACATTTATGATTTTGATAAGTTTTATCCCCCTTTTGCACTACCTTTATTGATACATGAAAGCAAGCCAGAACACTGAAGAATTGAGTGTAGTCAATATCCAAAATATTTCATGCCTTTTTTGTTAAATGAGTATATCTTTTAATCCCTGTGTTGCTCACTTGTATAACGTTAAAAACAATCACTAGTCAGAAATGAAACAAAGGCGCATAATATACCAAGTCTTACAATAATATGTTGTTCACTGGACAACTTGAATAGAAACAGAAAACGTGAAAGTGTTGCATTGGCTCATCATGGCCCTGTGTATGAAGCCAGTTCATAGTTTCCATATGGTCCATCTGTCTAGAGCGAAACATTTCTGAAGCATGAACCACATCGTTCAAAGTCAGCTTTATCCCTGACTTAAGACATGACTCAGAAACACCACAAGCATGTAAGTTTCCAAGTGGTCTCTCTGGTCACCTAATCTACTGTTGTCTTCTTGGGAGTTGAAGTGGAAGACTTTACAGCAAATCTCTTTTGTCTCTCCATTCAGAACAAGGTGTTCCAAATGGATTAACCATATAACAGTTAAACACTTCTCTGAGGAGAGGTTTGCTGTTACTTGGACTTCTCTCCTGGGAACAGTGTGGGAATTTCCGCGGTGTTTCTCATCTTTTATATTTCTCTTCTCTCTGTAGTAATTTAAAATTTATCCTGAGGGGGAGAAAAAAAAAAAAAACAGTTTCTATTCCAGATTGCATAAAGACCAGAAAAGAATCATTCCATCTTTTACCCTCTGGTGCCCCATGTAGTCATATGGTTCAAAGAAACAAGACACATTGAATTTGACATTGTCCAGATTATCCTCTTGGTTTTCTCCCCTTGTTCTTGTATATCTGCTCTTCTGAGTAGTTATACTTAAGAGAACTCTTTTGGAACATATTGATGTGATTTTTTTAAATCTAAAAATGACTTTATACCAGACCATATTTATAAACCCATGATGTTGTCCTGTGGACAGATGTGGCATCCCCATGTGGGGATTAGAGTTTTAACCACCAATTTTGGTGACTAGTCTTGAACTCTTTCACTTCAACTCTCTAGACAATTTATTTATAACATAGAGTTAATATATTCTCCAAATTTCTTCCCAGGAGTCAGTGAAATTAAATGAACTCATTTCTGTGAAAGCACTTCTAACTCTGGGGAAGTGAGTTTTTCCTTACAATAAAAAATAAATGGTAGAATTACATTCTCTCTGTAGACACTGGAAAAATATATACACCTGTCTTAACAGACTGTGTTATCATGTTTAATTCCCAGTTCTTCATTTTATTTAACACTAGCTGTTTTTATTTGATTTGTTGGGGCCACCAACTAGCTTTATAACTTTGCATTTGATGTTCATTCAATCATGTAGTATCTCTGATCATTAATTTCCTTATATTTAAAAACAGAAACAGAAAACAAACAAAACATAAGAAAGTGGGAGGTGCCTTTAAACATGAACTTATCATTTCGTCTAATTAATTTTTATGAAACCATGTAGTATATATAAGGGCCTATATTGTATTACACATGATTATAGAGACAGTTATGAAAAATATTTAACTATAGGAGATAAAGTCACAACAAATGTGCTATAATAAATTAAACTCGGTAAATGAAATGTTAATTAAAATTTGTTTATAAAACAGCTGCATCTATCCCAGGCATTTTTGTAAACACAGAGAAAATATACAGCATGGTCTCTGGTCCCTGGGAACTTAGTCTATTTATGGAAATAGAGTAACTAAAATAGTAGATCAATTAGAGTGTCTTTATCCCAGGTGGTACAGTGCTGATTATTATGATAATGAGAATTTAAAGAAGGAAAAGAAAAGCCTGGAATATGTTGAAGACTTTATAAGCATAGTCATCATTTATTGAGTTTTTTCCACATACTATTAAATATACCATATACCATACCATCTAATCTTCCCATTAGACACAGTGACATGAAGGGCTTAGACCAGCAACTCCATTTTGGGAAGTAAAACAAAACAAACAAAAAAAGTCAGGTTAGACAGGAGAATCAGTTTCTGAGCTCTGAAAACCAGGGAGAGGACTTTGGACATTGTGACAGCTAGTCAGGAGTCATAGTACCTTCTGGAACAGGTTGGGTACACCATAAACCTAGAAGATGTTTAGGGTGGAGAGACTTCCATAGAGATTAGAGACACATGGGCACTAGATAAAATGGAGAGAGAAAGCCAAGACATTAGCTAAGGTTAAGGTTTTATAAAATCCTTGCTTAGTAATTGATGCACGTAAAAATGATGATGAGAATAATATATTTATAGCACATTAGTAGCTGGTGGTTCAGATTCAAGTTGTGTCCTGTAGCCTCATCATCATGGCTGTAGGAGACATTTGGAATACAGCAAAGGAATGTATTTTGGATTAGTCCTGAAGTGCCTAAGAACAGCCAGCTCTGGGAGACCTCATCCTTCAGAGCAAGTGAGACACATAGCTGCTATCAGACTGAGCAGGGAGACAAACCTTTGTGAGTGGGTGGCACTCATATGGCAAAGATCTAGAGAGTCAGCTCTTCAGATGACCTGCCTACAGTGACGGTCATTGTAGTCGTTTCCTACAGTAACATGTAGAAAATGTTATTGAAGGAATACTCATTTCTTCTGTGTCCCTCTCTGAATCTACAATCCCGCTGTGTACTTCCTAGGTACTTCTTAACTCATTTTGACTTTCATGAAGA